CACAATCACTACGATGTGTGTGTGTGTGTGTGTGTGTGTGTGTGTGTGTGTGTGTGTGTGTATGAATGCTATTAGAACTCAACTATTCCTTAAGAAACTTACCTCTGTAGTTTTTATAGAAAATACAATTGTTGGCACAGGTATCAGGATGAGCATCCCAGAAATCAGGCCCACAACAGCATAATGGAGGTAAAGTGATATTATAAAGCTTCATTTTCTCCTGGACCTGGGCTCGTAAAGCTTCTACATATCTATAAAAGTACAGTGTGGTCAGACAAATCAACTACTAGGAGAAAAAACATAAAGCCTGATTTTATACCCAGCTTCCTCTGCTCTGTCCCTTGAGTCTTCTTATGCAGTAGGAAATAGCACTAGGAAAATGTAGTTAGTACTGGTCCCAAGAGGTACTAGCCAACTATAACAGTAGTGGAGTATGCACCCTAGATGAGGAAAAGTGCGAGAAGACAAACCAAGTCTCTCTCTCTCTTTGATTTTTCAAGACAGGGTTTCTCTGCGTAGCCCTGACTGTCCTGGATCTCACTCTGTAGCCCAGGCTGGCCTCAAACTCAGAGATCCTCCTGCTTCTTCCTTCTGAGTGCTAAGATTAAAGGTGTGCGCCACCACCGCCCAGCTAAACCAAGACTCTTAAGGAATATGAGCCAGAACTTCATGCAGGATATTTAAAATCAGTCACCTTACATATTCTTTTTCTCTCCGGTGCTGTTTTTCTCTGGCTCCTTTTATTTCTTCAAGTTGTAACTGGGCTAAAACATCAGTTATCTTCTCTTCTGAATAAGGTTCTTCACGACAGTGCATTCTTAGGAGTTTCTGCTCTTCAGCATAGCGCTGCTGTTCTTTCCTTTTCTTAATTCTGAAAATGAAACAAAACTTACTTAGGAATTTTCTAAAATGGTTATTTAAAATTAGCTTCCTGATCCAAATAACTCAAGAAATTCCCTCAAAAAAAGGGAATCAGAAAATCAGCAATCCAAGAGCTTTTTTGTTTGTTTGTTTGTTTGTTTGTTTGTTTGTTTTTTGAGACAGAGTTTCTCTGTCTAGCTCTGGCTGTCCTGGAACTCAAGAGATCTGCCTGCCTCTGTTTCCCAAGTACTAGGATTAAAGCTGCTGGTATTATACTCCACACTTGGTCTATATTCCAAACATTTTAAAACCTCAAAGTAGAAATTAAAATGTATGTAGGATTTAGGATATAGCCAGTGGTAGAGGGTTTGCTTAGCATACATGAGACCTTGAGGTAAATCCACAGTACCACATACAAAAAATTATTTTTGGGTTTGGAGAAGTGGCTCAGCAGTTAAGAGCACTGGCTGCTCTCTAGAAGACCCAAACTTAATTCCCAGCACCCTCACATTTGCTCACAAACATCTTTAACTCCAGTTCCAGGGGATCTAAAACTATCTTCTGGCCTCCTCGGTCACCAAACATGTGGTACACACATACAGGCAGAACACTTATACATATAAAATATTTTTAAATTATATCTTTATTTGTATATATTTTATATATCAAAAATATGTATGAATATGCACACATATATAAGGTAATAGCTGATAGAAATATAAGGAAATATTAAAAAATTGAAATATATGTAAAAATTTCAATGTCCCTTTCTCAATTACTGACAGTAAGTAGACAGAATAATGGAAATGATACAGTTAAGCTCTATGAACCAACTTGACCTAGTTGACATTGATAGAATAAGATTTTAAGAATACTAATATTTTCCTACTACAAAGCTCTTGAACTTAAAAATTTTGCAAAGATAGACAACATGCTAGATCAGTGGTTCTCAACCTGTGAGTCATGACCCCTTTGGAGATTGAAAGACCCTTTCACAGGAGTCACCTAAGACCACTGGAAAACACAGATATTTACATTACGATTCATATCAGCACCAAATTTACAGTTATGAATAGCAATGAAAATAACTTTATGGTTGGTGTGACCACAACATGAGGTCACAGCATTAGGAAGGTTGAGAACCACTGCCCTAGACTATAAAACCAATGATAATAAATTCAAAAGGATTCAAGTAATGCACAGCATATATTCTCTGACCATAAGAGAATTAAATTAGAAATTAATAACAAACTCTTAGAAAACCCAATATATTTGAGAACTATATGCTATACCTCTAAATAATTTATTATATAAAAAGAAATGGAAATTAGAAGGAATTTTTTTGTTTTTTTTTTTTTTTTTGAGACAGAGTTTCTCTGTGTAGCTTTGGAGCCTGTCCTGGAACTCACTCTGTAGGCCAGGCTGGCCTCGAACTCACAAAAATCTGCCTGTCTCTGCTTCCTGAGTGCTGAGATCAAAGGTATGCACCACCACCACCCAAAAAGAATTTTTAGCTGGGTAAATGATTTACTAGATACAGCTAAAGAATATTTAGTAAGGCTGGAGTGATGGCTCAGGGGATAAGAGCACTGGCTACTCTTCCAGAGGATCCATTTGGGTTTCCAGCACCACATGGCTATAGATGTAACCAACCGTTTTATTAAATAAGAAACACAGAAATAATGCAAAAGAGAAAGCCGAGAGGTCAGAGCTCAGAGCCAAAATCTCACCCTTCCGCCTGCGGTGTCCCAGCTTCCCGAATGAGGGCTCTATTTCCTGTCTGTTAGTCTATTTAAAGAGACAGAACAAGCCACAGCTATTTCACCTCACCAGTTCCTCAGCTGGTCCTGTTTCCTCAGACTGGAAGCTTCTGTGTCCTCATCCCAATAGCTCTCAGCTGAACTGTGTTGCTCCAAAGCCTGAAAGCTTAACCAGCTAAATGCTTCTAGTTTCTGGTCCTCACGCCTTATATATCTTTTTGCTTTCTACCACCACTCCCTGGGATTAAAGGCTGGCTTTCTGGGATTAAAGGCGTGTGCCACCACCGCCACACTTTTGCTATGGCTCTAATAGCTCTGACCCACGGACAACTTTATTTATTAACATACAATCAAAATCACATTTCAGTATAATTAGATTACCACCACACATGGCAGCTCACAACTGTCTGTAACTCCAGTTTCAAGGGATCTGATGCCCCTTTCTGGCCTCTGCAGAAACCAGGAACATACATGGTACATAGACATACATGCAGCAAAATATCCATACACACAATATACACATTTTTATATAATAAAAAAGAAATAAAAAAAGAAAGCATGTAGTAGACAATTTCTAGCATTAAGTGCCTATATTAGAAAAATAAAAAGGGCCTTAGATCAAAGGCCTTAGCTTCTACTTTAAGAAATTAAAAAGAGGAAGATCAAGCTCAAGATAAGTACAAGAAAAGAAATAATAAAGGAAATAATAGAGAGCTGAAACAAACTGGCAAAAAGAAAAATAATAAATACTGAAATGAAAAGTTAGCTCTTTGATAACTGTTAAGTCAGTCTAACTGTGAGGGCCAAAGATACAAATTACTAATATAAAAGTAAAATGCTATCATTATAGATTCTACTGTAATATAGAAGGCTCAGGATAATTTTATGCCAATAAATTTTCCAACTTGGATGAAGTTACAATGTGAAAGAAACATGTTACTTACAGTTCTATTATTAGCAACAATGAAACTGCAGTTACAGATGTTTCACAAGGAGAAGTACAGAACCACATGGGATTACAGGTAAATTCTACCAAATAGTTAAGGAAGAAATAAAGCCAGCTGTCACTCATCCAACAAGACTGAAGAAGGAAAAACTGCTTCCCAACTATTCTCTAACACTAGCATTACCCTTAAACCCAAAGAAATAAAACTCCCAAATCAGAAAAAAACAAAAGCACAAGTTAGTATCTCTCATCATACATATAACAAAGTAATATATTTTGTCTATTTCTTTTCTGGAGTTGAGGGCTGAACCCAGGACCCTGTGCTGACTAGGTAAACACTCTACTACGGAACTAAATTCCCAATCCCTATTCTGTCTATTTTTGGTCTATTATGAAACTGTATTGAAATTTCCATTTATGGTTGTTGACAGCATACAGGAATGCACATTTATTTTAGCTTTAGACATCAATAATGTGCCCTGCAACCTTACTAAACTTGCTTTCAACTTCCAGTGGAGTTTTACAAAGTGATCACGTCATTTTCAAATAAAGGCAGCTTTACTTCTTTGTTAAATTGTCTTATTTCTTTTTCTTGCCAGATTGCACTGACTAGAATTTTCAGTATGACTTGAGCTGATGTGACGAGAATGGGCAGCTTCAGATTTGGAAAGAAAACATTTAGTCTTTCATATGAAGTACATTAGTTGTAAGTTTTTCAACAGATTTTTTTTTTTTAAATCAAAGTAAATAAATCCCTTTCTCTTTCCAATTTGTTGAAAAGCTTTTTAAAGTTTTCTATCCAGGTGTTGGATTTTGCGTTGCGGTCATGTAGCTTCAATCCCTCTCGAACTCCATTCCTTCTTTTGAAGGTTAAATCAATTCTGTCCCTGCGGTACAACCCACTTGGTAATATTATGTTGCCCTCTTAATATGCTGTTTGATTCTCTTTGCTCAGAATGCTGACAGAGGTGTAGGTAGTAAAAACTGTGCTCATAATGTCTTAGGCAGAAATAACAACTCGATTGGGAACCCAACAGAGGCAATTCATATTATATTCTTGCAAACAATTTGTCTCTATTTTGTTCATGTCCTGAGACTTTGTGCAAGGCTAAATTTAAAAGACACCTCTTCTAGATTGGATCTACTTCTGATGTGTGGCTTTCTTTTGCATGTAGTAATATTGGTACAATCACTTTGAAAAGCAGTTTAACGGCTTCTTTTAAGACTGAAATACACACCTCTTATTTGGCAGGTACTTAGCCAAGAGAAAAGAAAATATATGCCCAATATTAATGCTTGAATAGAATTTTCACTGGAAATTTGTTTAAGACCAAGTCAATGCCTGTCTACAAAGCTTCAAAGGATGAGATGACTTTTAGGGGCTAAGGCTCCTTTAAGTTAGAGCCAATGCTCATTTCCCAATCTGAAAACCCTTACAGACTTAAGGACTATACTAAGTCTACTTTGCTTGTATCCTAATACAAAGCCTAAATGACAAAGCACCCATTTAAAATGTTTACTGGAAAGAAATTCTGTGACAGGTCCCATGTGTTCCCTGAATTCCTCATGTAGCCAAGTGTTCTAGTTTCCTTTCTGTTGCTGTGATAAAGCATTCTGATCCCTTCTGAAGGGAAGAAATACTTTATTTCATCTTATACTTCCAGGTCACAGTCCACCATAAAGGGAAGTCAAGGGCAGGAAGTCAACTAGGATCCTAATGTCAGAACCATGGAGGAATGCGGCTTGCTGGCTTGCTCTCTGGGTCACTCCCTGGCTCATGTTTAGCTAGCTTTTTATATAGCTTAGTACAACATGCCTTACGAACAGTGCCACTCACAATGGGTTGGGCCTTCTTACATCAATTAATAATCAAGACAATTCTTCATAAATACACCCACATACCAACCTGATCCAGGCAAATCTTCAACTGAAGCTTCTCCTCTCAAAGAACTCCAGGCTGTGTCAAGATGACTAATTAAGGCTAAATGGAACATCAAGGATGACTTCTGGTCCTGTCTCTTCCTGAGTGCTGGGATCACAGGTGTATACCATCACATAGTTTCTGTGGTGCTACAGATCAGCCCAGGGATGCATGTATGCTGGGCAAGCAGTCTACCAAGTGAGCTACATCCCCAGCCTATTAACTGAGCAGTTTAAGCCTACTGTCGAGAAATACTTCTTAGGGAAAACAAAAAACAACAGAAAGCTCTTCCGGAAAAAAAAAAAAATTTTACTCATTGTTGATAATGAACTTGGATCTCCAAGAGCTCTGATGGGAATATATGAAGAGATCAAAGTTATTTC